CACTTATTAACATCCTACATTAGTATGGTACACCTGTCACAACTAGTGAAACCAATACTGATGTGTTCTTTTTAGCTAAAGTCCACAGTTATTCTTGTTTTCTAGTTTTTACCTAATGTTATTTTTCTGTTCCAGGATATCATATTTAGTCATCATGTCTCCTTTAGTTTCCTCTACACTGTGACAGTTTCTTAGATTTTCCTTATTTGTAATTACTTTGATAGTTTGAGGAGTACTGTTGAGGTATTTTTTTGGAATGTCCCTCAATTTGTTTTTGTTTTGTTTTGTTTTTGATAACAGGGTCTTGCTGTCTTCTAGGCTGTGGAGGGCAGTGCTGTGATCATAGCTCACCACAACCTTGAATTCCTGGGCTCAAGTGATCCTCCCACCTCAGCCTCCCAAGTAGCTGGGACTACAGGTGCATGCCACCATACCCTACTAATTTTTTTTTTTTTTTTAGTAGAGATGAGATCTTGCTCTGTTGCCCAAATTGGTCTCAAACTCCTGGGCTTAGGAATCCCCCTGCCTTGGCCTCCGAAAGTGCTGGGATGACAAGTGTGAGGCACTGCACCTGGTCTGATGTGTTTTTCATGGTTAGATAAGGATTATGAGTGTTTTAGAGGAAGACTATAGAAGTAAAGTACCATTTTCATGGCATATAATGGTACATGTTATCCTCATAATTGAGCACTCGTGATATAAACCTTGCTCGCCTGGCTGAGATAGTATTTGTCTCCACTCTAAAGTTACCCTTTCACTTCCTTTCCATACTCTACTCTTTGGAAAGAAGTCACCATGCTTAAGAGATAGAGATGATGGTTATCATTACTCTTATCCTATAAAATATGTTCCTACTCATATCCTTCCCACTACGGTTGATGGCAAGTTCATCATTCTAGAACATAAACTTCAGTGCCATTCTTAACTCCTGTTTTTCTCATACCATGCAACCAATCCATCAGAAAACCCTATTAAATCTGCCTTCAAAATATGTCCAAAAGTAGACACCTCCTTACCATTTCTACTGCTGCCTCCACGATCTGAACCTTCATTCTCTCTGCCTGTATTACTGAATAACCCTTTAACTGGTCTCTCCAAGTCTGCTTTTGGCCCTCTGTAGTAGATTATTTCTCTATGATTATTCTAGTTGGCAGCCAGAATAATCATAGAGGAAGATGTCAGATGATGTTATTTTTCTGCTTAAAAACCTACATTGGCTCTCCATTTTTCTTATAGTATGAGCTAAATATTTACAATACCCTCTCAAACTATGAGATCTGCCCCCCTCTCCCATTTGATTACCTCTCTGATCTCATTTCCTGCTATTCTTCCCACATTGGCCTACTTGTTACCCCTCAAACACTCTGGGTATGATCCTGTTGTAGGGCTTTTGCACTGGCTTTTCCTCTGATGGGAATGCTCTTCTCTGTATCTGGATGGTTAATGCCTTCATCTCCTTCCAAGTATTTGCTCAAATCTCACTTTCTCAATGGAGCCTACTGTGACCGTGCTATTTATTATTGCACCTAGCCTCTACCCCCACCACTCCTAGTCCCTCTTAACCTGTTCAGCTTTACTTTTTCCTCAGTTTTCTTATATTCTAACATAGAATATAATTTATTCACTTATGCTTATTGCTTATTGTGTGTCCCCCCAGCTAGAATTTGGGTGGCATAAAGGCAGGGATCTTGTGCAGTTTTATTCATTGATGTGTCCTAGATGCCTAGAAGAAAAAAATATATAGATTGAATGAATAAATGTATTATTTGAACTTTGTGCTGCCTATACCTCTAAATTATTCTTCAATTTAAAAAAAGCAACAAATAAAGGAAAACAATTTCATATAAAGGTATCAAGTAGATACAAGGGCAGAATCTGAAATGTTAGAGGAAGACTATAGAAGTAAAGTACCATTTTCATGGCATATAATGGTATCCAAAATCTGAAATGTTACCAAAAGCACTGTGTTTTAAATTCCTCATTTGTTAATGAGTATAATAATGTTATACTCATCTTAAAATATTGTTGTGATTTTTAAAGAAAATTATATGTATAAAAGCAGTCCATAATCATGTTTAGGGATTTCTCAGCTCTTAGGCCTATATAAAATAAGGCCTTGGAGACAAGATACAAGTTGTTATAAGCCCTTAGAAGCCACTTTCTTTGTGGTGGCATTCCTCTGAACACCCCTTTTTATCTGAAGTTTGAAATGGTGAGCAAACATGGAGAATAGGAAAAGAGTTCTTTAAATATGTTTATAAAGATTAATAAAATTATATTGCACCAGTTTTTAGTAGGAACACTGAGATCACAGTCAGTGAAGATGATTTGGAAACTTGGGATGGAGAGAATTGAATATTGTATTTATACTGCACTGTTAAATGGCTACTTTTCTTGAGAACTAAATTTTGGCTCTACTACTCATTTTTTTTTTTTAAATGCAGTTTGTTTTCAAGAGCAAAACAGTTGTTTACTAAATTTACATTGCTGAACATTCAGCATAAATGTCAGTTTTCCTTCCCTCCACTGTTTTTTTCCAAAAGTAGAAGTAACTTCTATAATAAATAAATAAGTTGTGGGTTCTATCATGTATCCACTTAGTTCCTAGTACTGTTTCTTTTCTCTGAAGTATTTAGGAACTGGCTGAAAAGGCAAACTTTATTGGCATGGTTAGTATTCCAGTAGGCCAAGTATTGTAGGGAGTGCCAGCTAGCAAGGTGGGGCATCCGGGAAGCTGATAGAACACCAACAAGTGAACTGACCAAATGCTGTTGTTTAAATTTACCTCTGGGGAATCGGCCTGTGAAGCTCCATGGTGACCTTTCATTGTGTCTTTATGATTGTTATGAATTTTCCTTTCCCTCTTTATTTCGCTTCCACTTCCATTCCTGATCTTAAACCTAGAATAGGGGAAAGGGAAGTTTTTTTCTTTTATCAATGGCAATGAAGATGACAGAATAAAGTAATACAGGTTAACTTCAGTTCACATGAGAGGGGCACTGAATTTCACTAGAGGTAGAGTAAAAGTATTGGATTTGGAATATGTTGGTCTATATTATTCCAGGTTTAGGTGTTTCACTCTTACCACATTTGAATCTTTGTGAACAGCACAAGACACTCCTATGTATCATATAGCTGGGTCCTGTCAATGTGTGCTTCTTTGTAAGCTGTGATTTATTTGCATCATAAAGAATTGAGTTTATTAGTAACATATTACATAATGAGCAAATTAGTTAAGTTTGTATTTCAGTTTTTAGAAATCCAATTAACAGTGGTCAAGATATTAAAACCAAGTAAATATCCAGTAAAATTCTTATAAGATTACAGGATCTAATATCATACCCTTACTTTAGATGGCTGAGACAAATTCGTCACTTTTAGTTCTTTCCCAGGCTTTACTTCATTTTTGTTATGCCAGCTCTTTTCCTTGTTTTGTCAGTTTGTTTTTGTCACAACTTGTGCCATTGTTTGCCTTATCTTAGAACCAAGGAATCTGGGAAAGGGTTCAAGTCTTTTTAATGTGGGTTTTTCCAAACTTGAAATCTTCTAAATATGAGCATATAGAAATAAACTGGAAGTGGTATTTTTTTTTTAGATGGAGTCTCGCACTGTCACCTGGGCTGCAGTGGCGTGATCGACTCACTACTACCTCCACCTCCCAGGTTCAAGCAATTCTCCTTCTTCAGCCTTCTAAATAACAGGGATTACACGTACCCACCACCACACCTGGCTAATTTTTTGTATTTTTAGTAGTGACAGGGTTTCACCACATTGGCCAGGATGTTCTTGAACGTCTGACCTCATGATCTACCTGCCTCAGCCTCTCAAAGTGCTGGGATTACAGGTGTGAGCCACTGTGCCCAGCCCAGAATGTGGTATTAATATAAAACCATATATTTATATACCTCTGTATACATCTTATGTGTTTAGATAAAATTTACATGTGTTTTCTATATGTTTATAATTCTCTCTCTACATATAGAATTATAAACTTATATAGGAAACACATGTAAATTTGTTTATACACACACACACAAAACCATTAATTATAAAAATGATTTTTTTTATTTTGAAGTGAATAAATTGATTTTTCCCCCTAGAGTTATCATCAGTGCTACCCTGTGAAGTTGCTTTTTGAACATGTATCTTAAATAATGTGGTAGTTATTAGATTCCATTATTTGGAGTATTATTTCCAGGTCTATTTGAAAGCCAGCTATCCTTTTTTTCTAATAAATAGTTGGATTGAAATTAAAAGACAAAGTTTATCCCTCAAGAAGGAGACTGCCAGAAATCAACATGATCATTACTTATTTCTCATTGTCTAACAGTGTTTGGAGATTGTTCATCATATGAAATATAATGTTCCAATATTATTTTTTGGCATTATATACCACTAGCTATTTTCTGTACAATAAACTATTCTTTCTTATGCCTTAAAACAACATTAGCCACTTAAAAATTGTAGTTAAAAATTGGGGGATTAATTCTGTTTGTGAGTCAAGTATTAACAAACTTCCTTCTTCGGTATGGAAAGATTACACTAGGTTAGCCTTCTACTACTACAGCTTCACTGTACCCCTGATAAAAGTAAAAATGACTGCTGATTGTTAATCTGCCTTGGAACTAGGAGGGATGTGGATGGATCATAAATACAGCTGGAAGCTATAGCTTTGGGCTTCCCATAGTGTGCTTCTTCTTACTAGGTATGTCCTTCCTTGTGCTTAACACCTGACCTGTTTTGGAGCTGGAGAATGGTCTCTGAACTCCTACTGAAGAGACATAGTTGGTGCTGTCCTGCTGACATGCCGTATTCCTGGTCTGCATCCTTCTTCAGAGCTACTCTGTGTCATATATATTTTGGCCCATTGAATCTTGTTAGTTTGATTTTCCTGCTGAACCTAATACCACTGCTGCTGGTTGAGCAGACTGGCCATTGTACTATCATAAATATTTAAGATGAAAAGTGTAATAATAATAATTCTTCCTTTTTTTTTTCAGAAATGTGTTACGGATGAGTGTTTCTTTTTTGAACGATTGGAATCTAATAACTACAATACTTACCGATCAAGGAAATACACCAGTTGGTATGTGGCACTGAAACGAACTGGGCAGTATAAACTTGGATCCAAAACAGGACCTGGGCAGAAAGCTATACTTTTTCTTCCAATGTCTGCTAAGAGCTGATCTTAATGGCCACATCTAATCTCATTTCACATGAAAGAAGTATATTTTAGAAATTTGTTAATGAGAGAAAAAGAAAATGAACGTGTACAGCTCAGTTTAGATAACTGGTCAAACAACGTTTTATCCAGTAGTAAAATATGTAACCATTGTCCCAGTGAAGCAAACTAACAAAAATTGTTTAAAAATATATAGACTTCCCCCTTTCATATAGCATCTGCTGTTACCCAGTGAAGCTTACCTAGAGCAATGATCTTTTTCATGCATTTGCTTTATTTGAAAAGAGGATTTTAAAATGTGTACATTTAGAAACAAAATTTCTTCATGGAAATCATATCTATTAGAAAATTACAGTCAGATATTTAATCCCAAACGTCCACTATTTCTTATTTGTTAGTTTACATGTTTCTAAACATATAAATGTGAATTTAATCAATTCCTGTCATAGTTTTATAATTCTCTGGCAGTTCCTTGTGATAGAGTTTATAAAACAGGCCTGTGTGCACTGCTGGAAGTTCTTCCACAGTCAGGTCAATTTTGTCAAACCCTTCTCTGTACCCATACAGCAGCAGCCTAGCAACTCTGCTGGTGATAGGAGTTGTATTTTCAGTCTTGGCCAGGTCATTGAGATCCATCCACTCACATCTTAAGCATTCATGCTGGCAAAAATTTATTGTGAATGAGTATGGCTTTAGGCGGCAGATGATATACATATCTGACTTCCCAAAAGCTCCAGGATTTGCGTGCTGTTGCCGAATACTCAGGAGGGACCTGAATTCTGATTTTATACCAGTCTCTTCAAAAACTTCTCTAACTGCTGTGACTCCTACATAAAAAAGAGATGTACAAATCAATAAGGATTACAGTTTTAGAAACTGTATTATCAAAGATTTTCATTTCAGTTAAAGTAGCATTATCTAAAGGCTCAAAACATTACCCTAACATAGTAAAGTTTCCAATACAAATTCTTTGCCTTGTGGACATCAAGAACACCAAAATATTTTCTTATCACTGTACATTTAAGAAGCTTTTGAAATGCTGAATATTTCTTTGGCTGCTACTTGGAGGCTTATCCACCTGTACATTTTTGGGGTCAATTCTTTTTAACTTCTTGCTGCTCTGTTTCCCAAAAGGTAAAAATATAGATTGAAAAGAAAACATTGCACTGGTGCAGTTCCCTTGTTTCTTGAGATAAGATTCCAAAGAACTTAGATTCATTCCTTCAACACCAAAATGCTGTAGGTGTTTCATCAGAAGTTTTCAAAAACTTGGAATATAAATAATTTTATAATTCAACAAAGATTTTCATATACGGTTGATTTTTCAATTAAATGCAAATTTCTGTGGCGGGGTTTTTATTGCCATTAACATATTTTTGTGGCTGCTTTTCTGTACATCTAGAGAGACCCCCTAACTGTACTTTCTCTAATTTTGTGATGCTGTCATTCTTTCCCAAGGCATTTAGGAGAAGCCCTTTATAAAGCTGTCTTCCTCCACCAATTTTCTAGGAAGCCTCACAATTGTCACAAAGATTTTTGTTCAAATACTCTTTTGCCTCCATTTTTATTGTTTGTCAAATAGTAAATGATATTCGCCCTTGTCACAGAAACACATGGGAATGTCTCAATTCCCATGTACTCTGACTGTAGACTGTTTTACCAATCCCCTGGATACGCTCTTGTTTTTTTTCCTCTAAGAAATAGCTATGAAAAGATGCATAGAACGAGTATAATAAAAAAGTTTTAAAGAGTATATTTTAAAAGTTTTAAAATATAAGGCATTTATCTGCCATTTTTCAATTACATGCTGACCTCTCTTACAATTGAGATTTGTCCATAGGTTAAAACATGGTTAGAAATAACTGAAAGCACAAAAGAAAAATCTAGGCCAGGTGCAGTAGCTCATACCTATATTCCCTGCACTTTGGGAGACCAAAGCAGGAGGATCACTTGAATCCAGGAGTTCAAGACCAGCCTGGGCAACATGGCGAAACCCCATCTCTACAAAAAAAACACAAAAATTAGCCAGGCATGGTGGCGTGCACATGTGGTCTCTGATACTTGAGAGGCTGACATGGGAGGATCGATCACTTGAACCCAAAAGGTCGAGGCTGCAGTGAGCCCTAATTATGCCACTGCACTCCAGCCTAGGCTACAGTGAGACTTTGTCTCAAAAAAAAAAGTAAGATAAATTTTCCTTAATAAGAAAAATAATTTTTACTCTGGCACGCTATATATTTGTTATTACATTGACTATTAAAGATAGTAGCACTAGTCTTAAATTTGATATAATATCCCCTAACTTGTTTAAATGTCCATTTTTATTCTTTATGTTTGAAAATAAATTATGGGGATCCTATTTAGCTCTTAGTACCACTGATCAAAAGTTCAGCATGTAGCTCATGATCTATGAACTACGTGCTCATTTTTTTTTTTTTTTGGCCATAAAAATACTTTATTAGGCCAAACTACACACTATAAAAATGCTTTAAAATGTAGCAGGAGGAGATGTAAAGACTCAAAGAAGTACAAAGAAGTAACAATGGCTATCAGAACACACTAAAGAATCCACACTCATAATCTTATGAGCTACATGCTGAACTTTTGATCAGTGGTACTACTAATCAAAAATACTGGATGGGGCTAGTGAGCAAATTTTCCCTGTTCAGCAGTCACCATAGCAGTGGACTGAAAATCAGCACTGCCTGAGTAGTTTTGATCAGTTTAACTTGAATCACTGACTAGATTGAAAATTGAATGGGCAAATAAGTGCTTTTGTCTCCAGAGACTCCTTCCACCTCAAGATGAAAACTTCTTCCCCAATGGTTTCAAGATGAATTGAAATTTTTAATCAAGACAGTGTACTTTATTCTATTGTATTTTTAATATGCTGTAAGCTAAACTGAAATAACATTTACTGTTTTATAGGTTTGAAGAACAAAGGAAAAACTAAGAGGTTTTGTTTTATTTTTGCTGATGAAGAAATATGTTTAAATATGTCATATTTTGTTTAGTTTCAGGACATTAATGAAAAGGAGTTTATATTTGTTATTTCTATTTTGTCATATTTAATAATAGAATTAGGTTGAAATAAAACATAATGGGAAATAATTTGCAGAATGTAGGTTTTCCTGGTGTTTCCCTCTGACTCCAGTGCACTGATGATCTCTGCTAAGGCTCAGCTGCTTTATAGTTCTCTGGCTAATGCAGGAGATTCTCTTCCTGCCATTAGTAATATGATTTTTTAGGAAGACAGTTTGTCAATTTTAATCTTGTAGATACCTTTATCCTCTTAGGGTATTATTTTATAAAAAGGCTTGAGGATTGCATTCTATTTTCTATATGACCCTCTTGATTTTTTAAAAACATTATGGATAACAATTCTTCATTTACCTAGTATTATGAAGAATGAAGGATTTCAAACAAATGTGTTTCCCAGTTAACTAGAGTTTACATTTGAGCCAATATAAATATTTAACTGTTTGTGATAACAGTATTCCTAAAGTATATGCATGTTTCTAAATATAGAGTTTAAATAATTTCAGTAATTCTTAGATGATTCAGCTTCATCATTAAGAATATCTTTGATTTTATGTCGAGTTAGAAATGCCCTCATATAGTCTTTCAGACCTCTGCTGTCAGTTTTCATTTCTAGTTGCTTTCAGAGTTTTATTAATTTTAAGGCAAATCTTTAATGTATACTAAGCTTAGGAAGTATGATTAACACTAACTGCAGCTTTTTCTTCTTAGTTTCGCATGACTGAGGCATATATGACCTCTGATCTCTGAATAGGTGGGTTGTTGTGACAACCACAAACACTTTTTTTTTAAGTGCTAATTTTTAATTATCAGGAATTAAAGGAGGGTTCTGGAGTATACTTAGACTAAAATTATACTTATTTGGCTTGGAAATAAGTGTTTCTTCATTTTCATCTACAAATAAATATAGCCGAAATTCAGAGGACCCATAAAAGTTCACATGAAAAAAATCAATTCATTTGAAAAGGCAAGATGCAGGAGATGAAGGCTTACAAACTTGCAGACTGCTTTTTGCCCAATATGGACTGGGAAAGGATGCAAAACATAAGCTTAATTAGTTCACATGCTCTGCTCTCACATGGCACAGGGGGATAGTGTGAGAGAATTAGGCTGTAAAACAAATGGCCTCTTTCAGTACTCACACCACTACAAAATCATCTTTTATATCAACAGAAGAGTTAGCATAAACTAAGCAAAAGGTCAATAAATACCTGAAACCAAGATTTGCTAGAGGTATATCTTAATGCAATCCATTTGCTGATGGGCTGTTAGGAGTTGGCTATATAATGTGTATGGGGTATTTTGATATGAGTAAAAGTTTTAAAATTAAGTTTTAAGTACATAGACATTTTTAAATAAAATTTTTAAAACTGCCTTAATGGGCCGGGCGCGGTGGCTCAAGCCTGTAATCCCAGCACTTTGGGAGGCCGAGGCGGGTGGATCACAAGGTCGAGAGATCGAGACCAACCTGGTCAACATGGTGAAACCCCGTCTCTACTAAAATACAAAAAATTAGCTGGGCATGGTGGCGCGTGCCTGTAATCCCAGCTACTCAGGAGGCTGAGGCAGGAGAATTGCCTGAACCTAGGAGGCGGAGGTTGCGGTGAGCCGAGATCGCGCCATTGCACTCCAGCCTGGGTAACAAGAGCGAAACTCCGTCTCAAAAAAAAAAAAAAAAAAAAAAACTGCCTTAATATGATTGTTAACTAAATAGAATAGCAGATGTGCATACTAAGGAAAAGGTCATGGAGAAATAATATTGGTATCAAACAAATATATTGATTTGTTATGATACACATTGAATTTGATCCAATGGTTTAAGGAATAGGTAGGAAAATTCAGTTTCTATTTTTCTATTTCCTGTAAATCCATGACATAAAGAGTTCTTAGCTTATTTTATATTTCCCTGTCTTAAATATTGAGCTCAGTAAGTTGTATTAGGGAATTACTTCACATTTGAGACTTTATGTGACATTTTACTATGTTTTGTCTTCCTATTAGCAATAAATAATAGATACAATTTTCATAAAGAGAAGAATTACATCACCACTTATCTATAATTGACTTTTATTATATTTATTTCAAAGTTCATTTAAAAGCTAGTGTTCATCCTCTGTGATGGAATGGTCAGGAATTTGTGTTTTCTCATAGTTTAATTCCAACAACAATATTAGTTGTATCCAAAATAGCTTTTAATGCTAAACTTGACTGATGTATATCCAAAGCTTCTCCTTTTCAGACAAATTAATCCAGAAGCAGTCATAAATAGAAGAACAGGCAGTATGTTCCTAATGATATTATTTCTACTAAGGAGTAAATTGTAATGTTAGAAATTATGCTGCTAATTTCATCAGCTCTGAGGTAATCTCTGAAATGTTCTGACTTCGTCTGAACAAATTAGAAAATTTCAATTTTTATTCTTAGCTATAGAGCAAGAAAGTAAACACATTAATTTCCTCAACATTTTCAAGCCAATTAAAAATGTGGTAGATACACACCAATATCTTCTCCAGGTTCTGACAGGCCTCCTGGAAATTTCCACATATTTTTCAACTGCAGTATAAAGTCAGAAAATAAAGTTAACATAACTTTCACTAACACGCACATATGTAGATTTCACAAAATCCACCTATAATTGGTCAAGGTAGTTGAGAATATATTTTTTAGTAATTGCTTGCAAAATATTTCTAGCTTCCATCCTTTCTCCCTTGTTTCTTCTTTTTTTGGGGAGCTGGTAACAGAACTACTCTTTTCCCACCTTTTCTCTTCAGGAAATAGAAGGGTTTGGTTCGGTTAATGTGATATATTCTGTATCAGTGAAACATTAGAGGGAAACATCTACTGAATTTCTGTAATTTAAAATATTTTGCTGCTAGTTAACTATGAACAAATAAATAGAATCTTACAGTTGCTGCTATAAATAAGTAGAAAAACAGTATAAATTTCATCACTAAAGTATGCTATTTTAAAATATTTCCTGTATTGTATTTCTAATCGGGTATATTACTCTTATGATTTCTATTGTTATATGTGTTAATGATTTTATGTACAAATGTAATTGCTTTTCATGGGTAGTATGAATAAAATTGATTAGCTCGTGTTTTCTTGTCTGCCTTTTCTTTGTATTTTCTTGTCTATGATTTCTTTTTTCTTTTATTTTTTTGTTGGGGAGGGGCAGATGGAAAGATCTGACCTTGTAATAGGGATAAATATAGAAAAATGGATTAAAAACAATTATGAGATGACATGGACAATGTCCTTATGGCTGACATGATTACGTTTTCTTGTTAGAGTTCTGTTATATCTATCCATCACCATGATAAAAACTAAAAATGAGAAATTATACTCATAAGGGAGCTGTACCTTTGGCTAGTACCTTATACTCTTCATTCATAAAACAAGTTATGGACCTTTTAGTGGTTTGCTTTTGACCCACTCATTTCCTAGATGAATGCTTCTTAAAAGAATGTGTCACTTCTCAACTATGCTATGTTCGAAACCAGTGGCATGGTTCCCAGAGCTTCCATAGACTGTTGATTATGTTGGTACAGAATTCAGGCTTTCAGTGTCTGGCTTAGGCTTGACATTAATTTATAAAGGATATTATGCTTTACTTTATTAATGTAGAAATATATCTGTAAATATAACTCTATATCAATGCACCGTCATCTAGATTCCATTTAGAAAATAGTCCCAGGAACTTAATTTTTCCAGAAACTATGCAGTCTTTGTCTGACAAGATGTTGAACTTTACCACCATAAATTCCATTTAATTTACTTTTTGAGACAGGGTCTCATTCTGCTGGCCAGGCTGGAGTGCAGTGGCACCATCACAACTCACTGTATTCTTGACCTGCCTGGGCTCTGGTGATCCCCCCACCTCAGCCTCCCATGTAGTTGGGACTACAGGTGTGTACCACCACCACACCTATTTTTTTTTTTTTTTTTTTTTTAAGAGATGAGGTTTTGCCATGTTGCCCAGGTTGGTCTTAAACTCCTGTGGCTCAGGCAATCCTCCCACCTGGGCTTCCCAAAGTGCTGGGGTTACAGGCATGAGCTACCATACCCAGCCATAAGTTCTGTTTCTAACCAAAGAGAAGTTATAATGGAGCAGACAAATGTTTCCTAAAAACAATAAAAGTCAACTTTAAAAATCTTCACCTAGATTTGATTATAAATGATTAGAAACTGTTAATTAATCTGAAGATGAACTTAGAAGGGGGAAAATGCTGGACGTAGGATTGAAAACAGCTCACAAAAATTTGATTTTGACTTTCATAAATTAAACCTTCTATATGGAAATATTTGGTATATTTTTATGCTGGTAAGTATTTTGTGACATTTTCTGGCACCACTTAGGTTTTTAAAAAGTTTACTTCTCCCCTAAAAAAGCGTGAGCTTGTGTATAGTCTAAATAGTAGGAAGAGAGGCCTAAGCTATGTGATTTGTGAAAAATCTATTTAATGTCCTAGATATGATCAATAGTGAGATCAACATGTCTTCCCACATTTTTTTCTTTATATCAAAAAAATTCCCATTAGCTATGTTTAGCAATATAACAATAACATTAAAATACTAACTAATGCTGGGCACAGTGGCTCACACCTATAATCCCAGCACTTTGGCGGGCTGAGACAGGAAGATCACTTGAGCCTTGGAGTTCAAGGCTGTAGTGAGTTACTGTGCCACTGCACTCCAGCCTGGGTGACAGAGGGAGACCCCAGAGGCTATGCTAAATATTTGTATAAGAATTATGCACATTTAAACTTCACAATAATCCCATGAGAGGCTGTAGTTCCCATTTTAGAGGTGATGAAACTGAGGGCATAAAAACATGTACTTATCACACACACCTAGTATGTAATAAACTCAGTGTTAAAATCCAGGCAGGCTGGTTCTAACCATCTTTTAAGAAATTGTAAAAGTCGATTTGATATTTTTAATCTTTTCCTAGGACCTAATTGGAACATTCTATATAAATCCAATCAGATTCTGTGTCTTAGACTTACACTCTTCCAGGGCTCACAGATTTGGACTACAGTTTAGGGCCAAATGTCTTTTTATCTCTCTGTTGCTTGTGAGTTCCCCATCTAGAATGTTCTGGAATTTATTTCCTAGCTAGTGATTTTTTTTTTTTTTTTTGAAACAGAGTCTCCCTCTGTCGCCAGGCATCAGGCTGGAGTGCAGTGGCACGATCTTGGCTCACTGCAGCCTCCGCCTCCTGGGTTCAAGCAATGCTCCTGCCTCAGCCTCCTGAGTAGCTGGGACTACAGGCACATGCCTCTACACCCAGATAATTTTGTCTTTTAGTAGAGACAGGGTTTCACTGTGTTGGCCAGGATGGTCTTAATCTCTTGACCTCGTGATCTGCCCACCTCAGCCTCCCAAAGTGCTGGAATTATAGGCATGAGCCACCACGCCCAGCTGTGATTTTTTATGATTCTCTTTTTCCAGTATATTGTTTTATGGGGAAAAATTACTGAGGATGGGTTTTGAAAATTTAGCCTATGAGTTTATTATGTTTTTCATCTTTGCTCTCCCTTTCTATAAAAGGAGACGATAACCTCAGTTTAAAATTCCATGATCCTCTTTCTACCCAATCTCAAAAAAGGAACTTTCCACTCTCTTCTAAAAGAAATATCTCAAATGCTCGTGCTTAGCTGCTTTGTTGAGTACTACTTAACATTCATATATGTGACCCCTCTCTGCTTTCAGCTGGTGAGGTCATCTAGTTCTGTAAGCATATCTGATTTTCACATACTACAAAAGGTATAGTATCCTTTTAACATAAAAATATGTGATTTAAAACCATATTTAGAGTAGCTCCATCATATTTTGGAAGGGTGAATGGTATGACAAATTTTCCTATACATTTGCCAATTATAAATTTGATGTTCTTGTGTGTGTGGATGTGTGTGTGCGTAGCAGTAAATGGAAAATAGAAGACAGTGTGGGTGATGTAAGGGTGGTCTCATTTATCACTCTACAATCCTTCCTTCCCCAGTGTTAGGAATTGCTAGCCCAAGAAACAGTCATTTTGGGTAGCAAGAAAGGGTAAACTACTGAATACATTTTTCAGAGGTATTAACAGAATGTAAGCTACTTTCCCTGTTAAATAATATTCGAGTTTAAAAGCATTATTTCTTTGAAAACTTTCCCTGAAGATTAACTCAAGTTTATTTTAGAATTTCTAGAATGGGTGAAAAGGAATGATTCATTTTCTGATTCTTTTTCTATTTTCCCAGTTCCATAGACCTCTGTTTTCCTAAACAGAAAATTCATTTTAAGACCTTCCCTAGGCATGGTTACTGAAATCCTAACCAGAAGTTTCTATAAACACAACCCCTAAAAGACTACTAATTTCTTTCAGCCATATCTCAAGAACCTAGAGCAAGGGTACGGACCTGCTAGCCTTTTCCCTTTTGTTCTCTTATATATGTGACCTTCTTGTTCTGTCTACTCCAGCGTGATCAGAAATTTGGTTATTTTTTTTTCATTGTTCTAGTCTTTAATAATCCTATCACCTTTTAGAATTCAGACCTACTGTATTTAGATAAATGTCACTAGCTACAATATTGTCATTGTTACCAATGAGATAGAGGCTACCATAGAGTGTCTCATAAGTCTGTGCATTCATTCAATAGAAATTTATTGAGTGTTAGGTGTTGGACATATAGAAGCTAATATGTATGGCAAGCATAAAGAAGTTAATACATAATGAGCATATAGAAGTTAATGTACATGGCAAACCCAGTAATTCTTTTAATCTTGGCACCACATTTTTTTCTTTTCTCTTTTTTTTTAAGTCAAAGTTTTTCTCTGTTGCCCACGCTGGAGTGCAGTGGTATGATCTTGGCTCACTGCAACCTCCACCTCCCGAGTTCAAGTGATTCTCCTGCCTCAGCCTCCCGAGTAGCTGGGACTACAGGTGCATGCCATTGGGCCCTGCTAATTTTTTTTTGTATTTTTAGTAGAGACAGGATTTCACCATGTTGGCAAGGCTGGGCTTGAACTCCTGACCTCAGGTGATCTGACCACCTTGGCCTCCCAAGGTGCTGGGATTACAGGCATGAGCCATTGCACCTGGCCAGCCACCATGCCCAGCCCATGTATTTTTCTTAATAACACTTATCTCCACCTTACATAATATTTATTCATTTTATTATTTGTATCTTACACATTTGAAAGTAAGCTCCATATGTAGAAACTTTGCTTAACTCCATATGTAGAAGCTATACATCTGTTTACTGATGTATACCTAGTGCTTAGTGCACCATGTTTTTTTCTTAAAAACACATCTCCACTTTATATTTATTCATTTTATTATTTGTGTGTTATGCATTTGAATGTAAGCTCCATATGTAGAGACTTTACTTTGTTCACTGATGTATACCTAGTGCTCAGAACTGTGCATATAGCTGAATATGTATAAGAACTCAGTAATATTCAGTGAATGAATTAATGGGTCTCTACTCTTAACTCTTGAACACCCAGTTTATGGGGTCAAGCCATTGTTGGGTCTTTTATTACTTGAGATATTTGGTTGGGTAGGGATGAAGGACTGGAATATGTGGGTAGGTAAAGAGAAAGGACATGTAAGTGTTAATTTAGATATGTGCATATGAATATGCACATATGCTCATGTTAAGGGTTAAATTTTCCTCTGCAAAAAAACACTTGACATTAATGCCTGGGGAGAGTGAGGTACCTAAAGAAAGGAGAGAAACTGGCTTGGATATCTGAAAAGAATGCCAATTAGCTATTTTTATAATAAGTAAATAAATATTTCTATATAATTTATTAAACATTAAATATAATAAAGCACATACAGTTAACAACTATCAGTTATGCCGAAATATCACCTAATATCAAATATTTATAGAAATTAAATTATTCCATGTCTTACTTTTATTACAACATTGAATATATGTTAATTTTTTTTTTTTGAGACTGAGTCTCCCTTTGTCACCCAGGCTGGAGTGCAATGACGTGATCTGGGCTCACTGCAACCTCCACCTCCCAGGTTCAAGTAATTCTCCTGCCTCAGCCTCCCAAGTAGCTGGAATTACAGGCACCTGCCATCATGCCCAGCTAATTTTTTTGTATTTTTAGTA